TTCCAACCCCCAACATTTTGTGATTCTGTGAAAATTAATTTCTCAATGTTCACATTAGATTTGAGGACTTAAATAAATATCTTAAATAAAATAAATATCTACTTAATAAATATCTACTTAAATAAATATCTACGTGCTAATGATATTATGCAGGAAGCATTTTTAAAGTAGATTTACTCTCTAGGATTGATGTTTGTAGAAAGTTGTGAATGTATTTTGAGCAATTTAGATTATTCTCGAAAGACTCTAACTCTACTTTTGAAAACATGTATATAGCAATACAGTACTGTCCTTGTACAGTTTAGGTTTAAAGGTGATTCTTTCCAGTAGAGTTTAGTACCAGTAAAATAAAAGTTGTCAGTTGAGCTGCCTGCTTTCTCAAACTGAAATATTGATGTAATTTTCCTTTTATATGCACAACAACTTTTGTACCAGATGTTGTTTTTAAAGCAGTCGAACAGATAAGTGATTTTTATTTGTGACATTATTCCCGCTGTTCTAATCTGCATCCACACGAGCATTTTTCTTCTGAGTTCTGTGTGTAGGATGACATTGAGTACATTATCAGGAAATGGTTTGTTTTACTTTTATCGAGATTCTGCCTGTACTCTTGTATAAATTTTGTACAACTTGTATTCATTTTCAGTAGGTCTCTTTCTGTAAGATTTTCATTCATATCAAAGAAATTTTGATTGTTCCAGGGATCTCCATTCTTACCTACTTGGTGACCAGGAAGAGAATGAAAACAATGCAAACCAGCAGCCTAACAACCAGCATGCTCGCAATAATAACGCCATTCCAGTTGTGGGAGAAGGTCTTCATGCAGCCCATCAAGCCATACTTCAACAAGGAGGACCTGTGGGTTTCCAGCCTTATCGTAGGCCTTTAAAATTCCCGCTCAGGGTAGGTATAGCTATCACATTAAGAGAAACGAGAGAAAGACATTTGAAGAAAGAGTGGAATTTTTTTTTGTAAGAAAGATGTGGCTCACTTGTTATCAGAAATCAAGTGGTGAGTCATGTTATTTCATCTTCTATACAGTTTGCATCTTTCTAAAGTGAACTTGTGGTTATTCTGAGCCTGTAACTTAAGACCTTCAATTACCACTTTCTTTATAGAACTCGTACGTGCTTTGTATGATCTATTAGTTCGTGTCTTATTTTCCTAATAATTTCTCCTAATGGTGAGAAATATAATAACCTACCTCAACAAACAGGTAGTTCAGGAGTGTCTCTAACAAGGCATGACTTTCAAGAGGGCATATTTAGGTCTTGTAGCTAAAGCGTATTTTAAATATTTTTGTTTTATTAAGAAATTAAATGGAGAACTTCTGTTGCATCTATATTAAATGCAGAAAGGTGTTATAATACTTGAAAGTTTGAGGTCCTTACAATTAGAAAGGAAATGTCGCTGGCAAATACTTAACTTTCTAAAATAATGTATAGGTCAAACTAGGTAAATGGTTCTGTTGTTTCCAAAACCGTGAAGTAATGAAATATCAACTTAAACACAGCTCATTTGCCATGGTTTCAGGTATACCTCAAGAATGGAAGTAACAGCTAAAGTTAAAACAGTGTAATATCACATCTAAAGTTTCCTTAAAATGCTGAATTGACCAGAATTCTCATAGCAATGTACAAAATAAAGTGGTTTGTGGCTGGTTTTTTTTCCCTATAAATCTCAACCTAGTAGAACTGAAAGCAAATTTGAAAGTATTTTAGGATTTTACAACTATTGAGCTTACAGGAGTTGGATGTCAGGACTTAGGGGCAGAGTTGATGCCCTCTATTGGTTTTTTTTACTCTCTGACATGTTTCTCCACAGGAGTGCACAAGGTACAACATTGTCACAGTGTTCTGTTCAGGCATGAAAAGGCTTAGGAAGCTTCTGCTCTCATAGCAGCTGTTGTTACCTCAGTTTGGTCATAACAGGAAGTCAAAGCATACTCTGACTGAGACTAATTTAGTCTAGCTTAACTATGCGCTTACTGCTACAAGGAGTGGTGCCGGTGGTCTTTCCATGGCAATTGCTTATTTCTTCCCTTCTGTCGTGGGTTAGGGCTGGGCCGGCCACTAACATGGACAGATGCTTTCTAACCCCCTCTTCCCCTGCCAAGCGGGAAGGGAAAGGGAATGAGGCAGAGAGGCTTACAGGTTAGAGAAGAAAAACTAGAACAGCTTTAATGAAACAATAATAGAAATCACAGTGAAATGATAAAAGTAAAGAACTATATACAACTGTAGATAGAGCAGGAGGCACTGGGGCAGCCCCAGGCTCAGCGGCAGCGGGAACTGGATAAAGGGGCGGATACAGGAGCTGGATTCGGGAACTCAGGATCCGGATCAAAAGCAGGAGGTCAGATGGAGTCCTCTCTGGACACCGGCCATTGCAGAAAAAGGACGAAACTCTCGTGATCACTCAATTTATACTAAATATGACGTATATGGGATGGAATACTCTCGTTGGTCACCTGTCCTGTCTATTACCCCCCAGAGGTGCAACCTTTTACTTCCTTGTGACCCTTCTCACTACCCGGCATCCCCAGCGTGGCACACAAGAGCCAGCAGTGGCCTTGGTCACTGTAGGAATAAGTGTCAGGAAGAGCCTTTTCTGCATCCCAGTGCCAGGCAGTGACTGTCAACATCAGGTGTTATCACTGCCAGTAGCACACAGTGTCTGCAAAAACATGCTGCTGACTTCAGAAAGTGCAGCCTTTTAGATGAAACTGGAAAATAAAAATCACTAAACAGAACTGGGTTTTTCGCTAAACCCAGGACATCTTCTTAGCATGAATGTCTGTGCTAGAACATACACAGGATGAGCTGGAACAGGAAACTTGGTCCAGCTGACAACTGAGGTAATATGCAGAAGGCATTAAATACATATGTTTGACAGTTCAGGTAAGACGTTTTATAGTGTTATTTTTAGTGAAAATATGATACGTGCAACATACCTTCACTTCAGTATATCTAAATGCACCCCCTGTGAGCATTTTTCTTTTTGACTGTTCTTCAATATTCTTTTAATAAATGTCCTCATTTTAGCTAGTTTGCTTTTTTGAAATAGTATTATTATGGTGGATTTGGGAGAGAGGAGGACTCTCCCTGCAACATCTTGGAGTCTGAATATACTGTGGTCACTGTCAGTGGTGCTTCTGTGATACGAGTGACTATGTGCGTTGTTTAGGTCCACGTCAAGAGTTGCTCTTCCTCTTGTATGTTCTGTTGCTCACTGATCCAAGAAGCAGCCATGTATGGAGTTTAAGAGCTTCATCCAGCTGTAGTCCTTCATGTATTGTTTATTGCTACGTGGAGTGACTTTTTCCTAGCGTTCCCTAAGTAACTATTTAGAGAGTATTGGTCCCAAACAAGTCATGCCACATGTTCCTCGAGGTTCCTAAGGATGTGTTGCTCTTTTTGCCTTTGGTCCAATTGACAGCTACTCTGGTTTTTTTCTTTGTGTCATTTGGGATTCCTAAAGAGAGCATTCTGTATGAAAAACAGTATGTGGCTGTCAACTGGCAAGTAATTGGGTGTTGTGGAAGAAGTGTGTTACAGATTTAAATTTTTCTCAGTATTCTAAGGCGTTAGTTTTCCCATAGTGAGCTTGCTCATTGTGTGGCTTGGATGATTAGTGCAACAGAACTTCATAGCACATGGTGCTTGAGATATTTGAATGCTTAAAGAAGCCAAATACATCACAATTCTCTGACAAGTGTAAATCTGGACTAAGGAGCTTTGCTATCATTTGCTGATCACATAAACCTGAGGGCATCTGTAAGAACTTTCTGAGGAAGGTTTTCCTTATTATACAACCACTGTCTTGCTTATCTGGCTTTACAGAGCAAGAAACCTTTCAGGGTTAATAGAGAGTTGTTGTTCTTGTCAGTGGAGCAATAGATTTATTTTTGTTTTTAATGTAGCAAAACAAACTTCAGTCATTCTGGATTCAAACATTAATTTTGGTTAAATAACTTTCTTATAAACTGTTTGTCTTTTTTTCCCTCTTATAGATATTTCTTTTGATTGTTTTCATGTGCATAACATTACTGATTGCAAGTCTTATCTGCCTTACCTTACCAGGTAAGTCTGTTATTGTAAAATTGCCATTAAAAACAACTTGGAATGTTGCCCTGCTCAACGATGGCAGATGTTTTGAAACCACTCTTTAAAGTTAAAAGGAGAAAACATGGAAAGTTATGTCTCTTTTTGATGGTACATCATCAAATTTTAATAAACTAATTAATAGAGATAATTCTTGTATTTAAATGACAGTTATTTCCATTGCCTTTGTTCTTGTAGAATAATTTTCTTTTAAGGGCAGGGCTCCAAGTGCTGAGACAATCTTTGTTAGTAGTATTGGGAGAAAAAGAGAACTGTAGCTCTTGAGCCTGCTTTACCTTTTAGAGAAGGGAAATGTATAGGTTGTTACCAGGTCTTCTGTGCTATCTTCTTTAATTAAATATTCTGAAGAAGATGTTACGGCAGGTCACTAGGAGACTTTGAAGTGATACACATGCCACTTCCTAAATACAGGTACTTTAAGCAAGTCAAAAGCACTTTGTAGGTTTTATTTTCTTTTAAATAATTTGAAATAAATTAAGACATGTAAACTCATTTGAATTTTAAAACCTGGCTACTGTAGTACTCTGTCATTTTTACCTCCTGGTATTAATGACCCTAAAGTCAATAATGGTTTGAGATAAGAGTTAGGAATTTTCTGATGGTTTTAATTCTACTATAATACTAGTGAATAGAAATAACATTAAAAATGAAATATAGCAAACAAGTCTCCCATTTTTGTCAGAGAGCTTCAGAAGCCCCATCAGTAAGTCTTGAAAAATTACGTAAGGCAGTGAAATAACTCAAATATAGCTCCTAAGATTTAGGTTCAAGCTTATGCACTAATCCATTATTGCCTTTGCAGTTCTGAAGGTTAGTGTTTAGGCTTTGAATGGTGCAGTATTCAGTGCTTTGTTTTGCTGTAGTTCATATTGCTGACGCAGCAAAATTTTAGGTGGCGGGAATTCTGTGCATGTATTTGGCATCATCTGTGTAGCTGTTTACATACTACTTCACACATTCATGTCTTATGGATATGGTACCAAAATACTGGTTTATGCTGAACACTATTTGTGCATTCATACTTAGTGATAAATCTGAGAAGTATATTTTTAATAGGCATCCTCCCTTAATACATCAAAAAGCAATTCTCTATGTAACAGTGTTTGTATTTTCAGTATTTGCTGGCCGATGGTTAATGTCATTTTGGACGGGGACCGCTAAAATCCATGAACTGTACACCGCTGCTTGTGGTCTTTATGTCTGTTGGTTAACTATCCGAGCAGTGACAGTGCTGGTTGCCTGGATGCCACAGGGTCGTCGAGTGATTTTTCAGAAAGTCAGAGAATGGTCGCTCATGGTGAGTCTTGAGAAAAATTTTTACTGAATCCTCGAAAAAGTAACTAACAAAAATTGTTTCATTTCTGCATGCCAGTTTTATTCTGTAATGCATACTACGTTTTCCTCTTCAGACCATTTTGAAGCTTTTGTAGCTTACGTTCCTAATGTGTAAGCTAACCGTGCCATTTAGCACAATATTAAGCAGTCAGAGTAGACAGGTTTGTGTATATATGGATATGTGTATGTATTCCTGTTTTCCTTTAAAAATTAATATAATGCCTTATATTATCCCACATGTGATGTGTCCTCAAATACATTTACATTTTCACATATACCTGGAAGCTTAACTGCTACTAATTTAACAATCTGACATTGTCAAATAAAAAAAAAGAATAGTAAAGCTGATAGATGATGATGAACGTCTCTACAAAGTGGCTTGATGTACGTTTTCAGACAGATCTTTATGATATGTCAGATTTTTATGTTGTTCAAATTAATATGTTTAAATGAAATAGCCTTTTTTATTGCCAAGAGTTCATCTTCTCAACACTGAAACAAATTTATGGCTCAGCTTTTTATTTTGGTTTTGAGGATTTCTTAGTAGATTTCTTCCCTAAGTATAGTGATTTTAAACATTCAGAGCATAAATAATAGTATGTGATGATGGACAAACTTGTGTGTTTATTGAACTGTTATAGACAGAAGAGCAGTGTAAGTGCATATTTTATGTATTATCACACTTCACAAATACCTCATCCATCATTTTCATTTAGGAAATCTTAAGAATATTCAGAACCAAAATGTAGACGCTGGAACAGGTTACCCAGAGAGGTGGTGGCAGCCCCATCCCTGGAAGTTTTTAAGGCCAGGCTGGATGGGGCTCTTGGCAACCTGGTCTAGTGGGGGATGTCCCTGCCCATGGCGGGGGGCTTTGGGACTAGATGATCTTTAAGGTCCCTTCCAACCCTGACAATTCTAGGATTCTATGACTTGTCCTTTGTCCCTTCTCCTGATCATGTTAATTATTCAGAGGAGTTTTGTATCTGATTTTTGGGTGATGCATGTAAATTAAGAGAATTCTAGAAATATTCCATAATTAGTGAAATTTAAGATTTGGGTTTCAGTGGATAAAAGTTGGTGGGTTTGGAAAGAATCTTTAATTTTTCAACATGTAAAAATACTCAGTATAATGAAGTGCATTGGACAGTATTCCCTACTGATAACAGTCAAAGGTGATTTTGTGTTTTCAAACTATATGGACAGCAGTAGGAGGCACCATAAAGAGACTGGAGGGGGCATGGAATAGGCCTCAATCTTGAAAACTTAACTTGCAAAACTGTGTATGTAATAAAAATCATTTCTGGGGTGTATAGGTATGAATTAGAAGGTCTGTGTAGTTTGTTTTTTTTTTTTCTCTCCAGTTTTATATATTTGGTTAGTTTAAGTTATATTTTGAAGTTTAAACAAAAAGAATCCTTTGATAAACAGATGTCTTTATTTTTTTCTTTTTTAGATAATGAAAACATTAATAGTAGCTATCCTGCTGGCTGGCGTGGTTCCACTTTTGCTTGGTCTTCTGTTTGAACTGGTGATTGTTGCACCTTTGAGAGTTCCTTTGGATCAAACACCTCTCTTCTATCCTTGGCAGGTCAGTTGCTCCCATTCTTGTTCTGCTATTGATACTCCTTACTTCTAAGTAAAGAAATGTCTGAGAGCTCTTGTTTCATGCTGATTTGGAGCATTTTTCATAAGTATATTTCTGTGTGGCAGAAGAAAAGACAGCGTCTGGATGTGAGGATTATTTAAACCAAAAGGATATGCTTAGGAATTTTAAATATGAAAAGCTGAACTTTGAGGAATGACACCAGGGGATCCTTGGATTTCAGTGATCAGACAGACACTTTTTTTCAGTAGCATATTTGTGAGGCTAAGTACAGAAGCTGGTATAGCTGTATGTACATACATCACTGTATTTACATATTCTGTTGGACCTTTCTGGAAAGCTTTCTGCCTACAATTACGAGGCGAGAGGTTTGGCTCTTTTTTTTTTCCGTACACAGTTTTCATTCGGTCATGATACACACTCTCAATGAAATTTCGGTATTCTTTAGGATCATTCTAGTTTTAAGTGGAGATGTCAAATCATTAATACAAAATGTTGAGATAGTAGTGTTTCGGTTTTCTTCAGTCACAAGTTAAAGAAGCGATGTTTGAAGTCCTACAAGTCCTGTAGCTCTTTATTCTGCCTTGTTAGCCTGTACTTTGCATTCTGTTTTTGGTGAAGTTGATTGAAGAGTCTCATACAAATATCTGTAATCCAGAAAGGAAGCCTGTAGTTCTATTTGTTCTTTTAATTCCATGCCATAACAATTGTGGAATATGTTAAAGCATAAATTTTCCTCTGAATAGTATAATGTTCTTCTGTGAAGAGCATTACTTTGTTTGATTTAGCTTTTCTCAGATCAGGTAGGGTTTTGTGAACAATTAAAATTTACAAGATGAAAAAAACCCACCTTGCCTCTTGATTTCTGTTAGCATCTTTGTATCTTGTTTCTCTTCTTTTCTTAAAGCAATCAGAATAACTTATTTCTAGGTAAACATTACTAGTATCAATTAGTTTGTACCAGAATGTTAGGCTCTTGCTTTAAGTAAGTGTAATGCTTTTGTTTTGTATTTGCCTTTGGTTTAATAGTAGCTGATTTTCTCAGTTTCAGGGAGGCAAGTACTTTACAGATGTCAGTTAAGTTTGCGAGCATCCTCTTCTTCTTAGGAGCTCACAGTTGTCACCTTTTTTAAGCAATGTCCTGTGTAAACAGAAGAGTAATCATCTTTTCACTTACAAGTAATATTAACAAGTTTTTAAAAAGCTTTTTTGATGTCAGACTATTTAAAAATATGTTAATGCTAACAGTCCATTTTTACAATATTAGGACTGGGCTCTTGGAGTTCTGCATGCCAAAATAATCGCTGCCATAACACTGATGGGTCCCCAGTGGTGGCTGAAAACTGTTATTGAACAGGTAGGAAAAAATTGTCCATGTGAATTATCTGTATTTTACCTTTTTAATGTTATTTTTCAACGTGTGAGTCAGAAAATGGAGTTACTCTTGTAGTAATAGAGTAATTTGAGTAATTATATAAAACACAGCTAGTCTTGTAGAGTCTTTTTAAATTGTGTAGCCTAATCCTTTAACATACATTTTACAATAAAACAAAAATAAGCCTCTGAAGTCAAGAAAATGCTGTGTCTTTGTATATGCAATTTTATCAGGTTTCTGTTAAAGTGAGAAACATCATTCTTTCCTTAGTTGAAATCACATATGTCCAGATACTGGACATTATGTTCACCACTCAAGAACAGAGAATTTCTGCCTTCTCCAGAGCTGTAGAGATGACCTCATTCCTAGATGAGTGCATATGAAAGACACCATTTCCATCCCCCCTCGATTATTAAGCAAGAATAGTTCCTGTGAGCAGCTGAGTCACGTGGCCTCTTTGCTTTCTCTGGCAGAAGTATTTTTTTTCTTGATTACAACCTTTAAGTTCTATGCTTGTCATCTCAATAAAGTATCTCAATTGTTAATCATAGAATCACAGAATGGCCTAGGTTGGAAGGGACCTTAGAGATCATCTGATCCAACCACCCAGCCATGGGCAGGGACGCCTCTCAACTAGACCAGATGTTCAAGGCCCCATCCAGCCTGGCCTTGAACACCTCCAGGGAGGGGGCATCCACAGCCTCTCTGGACAATTTATTCCAGAGTCTTGCCACCTTCATATTGAAGAATTTTTTCCTAAGATCCAATCTAAATCTGTTTTCCATTAACTTCAAATCCATTTCCTCTTGTCCTATCAGTGGACACTTTTGTAAAAAGTCCCTCCTCAGCCTTCCTGTAAGTTCTCTTTAGCTATTGCAAAGCAGTTGTAAGGTCCCCCCAGAGTCTTCTCTTTTCAAGACTGAACAATCTCAGTTCGCTCAGCCTGTCCGCATTACTTGGAAAGGAACTTTTGCTCAGCCCTGCTTTATACATAATGGCTGTGGTGCATGTCCTGACCTGTCTACAAAAGGTCACTCTCTTGATTAAGTCTAGCACATAGTTCCAGTTATTAAACGATTTCCCAATCACTTTAACTATCACACTGGAGAAAAGTAGTCTTAGTTCTGTGAGTACGTTTTGCATACCACAGCTCTTCTTTCCATGAGGGGTTGGAACTAGATTATCTTTAAGATCCCTTCCAAGCCAAACCATTCTGTGATTCTGAATGCTCTCCCTGGTCCTGCTTGTATACACACTCTCCTGAGCCATCCTTGGGAATGGTTACATCCAGGCTGTGGGACAGATGCTGTAGTCTGGCTGTATGTGGAAATCGTTTTTTCCCATGATTAGTCATGTTGAGACCTCTGGTAGCAGCTGCAGAAACTCAAGAACTGTAGAGGCCCTGACTTCAGGCACTGACTCTTTTAAAATGCAGAGGTTCTGGTCTGCCCAACCAAGTACAAAGTAACAGCCTGTTTTCTGTCTGTGATACCAAATTTAATAGATTTGCTCTACAAGCATACACGAGGTCCTCTTTCAGCAAGTTAATAGTACAAAGTAATCCCAGGTCACTCATAAAACCACGATATGCAGCCTTGTTTAATGATCTCCCAGCTTGTCTGTTGCACTCCTGCAGCCAAATCACAGCACTATTCCAGGTTAAGTTGCTTTTCTCCTGGGCACTATTCTGAATGATATCTTGGATGGAACCCTCATGTAGATTGGCACAAGAGTTTTTCCTTTTTCGACTGTGGCCATCATGGTTTTCTTCAAGTTGGGAGCACTAGTTTCCTCTCCTAAGGAGAATTGTGTAAAACCTTGTAATTATTACTGTAAGCTCAAAGCATGGCTTTCATGATTAATCTGTTCTCCTTCTAACTTTTTGTTCTTAGGTGTATGCAAATGGGATTCGTAACATTGATTTACACTTCATAATCCGTAAACTGGCAGCACCCGTCATCTCTGTTCTCTTACTTTCCCTGTGTGTGCCGTACATCATAGCTTCTGGGGTTGTACCTTTATTAGGTATGTATACCTTCGCAATGCCTGTTTGTCATCTGATGGTTTAGGGGAATGTAATTATATCTGTGGACCTAAAACTTCAATTTCTAGGTTATTTTAAAAAGTAAAACCAAAACCAAATATTCTGCTAGGAAATGTAAATGCTTAAGGATTCCTGTGTCATCTTAAAAGTTTCAGATTTTTTGAGAAATGCAATGCATTATACTTTTTAATAAATTAAGTGCAGATTACTTTAAGAGTATGGGACTGCATGTTATCTAATAGCAAAAATGTAGGTAACTAGCTAGTTTGGGGAAGGGATGATTAATTAATTTCTCTTTGGACAATCAACCTTTAATTTTAGTCCCTCTTTAATAGGTATACTGAGCTTAGAACAGGGGAAAATACTGGGAGTGTTTTGAGGTTTTTATTCAGTATTAAAATTAATTTGTAAATATAGTTGGTTTTTTTTCCACTTTCCTGTCTTCTCATAACATCAACTTTTTTCTGACACCAAGTATACAGAAGTCAATAAACAAGAAGAGCTGACAAGCCCAGTTTTTTTTTTACTGTGGATTTTCACTGTGTTAATGGAAAACTTTCAGTATAAAAGCAAGTGCAGGAGCATAAGTGTGTGTGTTACTTGAGCAGTGTTAGATTATGTGAGGATTGTGTCTTGTTTTGTAGGAGTTACTGCTGAAATGCAAAACCTAGTTCAGCGCCGGATTTATCCTTTTCTGCTTATGGTGGTGGTTTTGATGGGAATTCTCTCCTTCCAAGTCCGCCAGTTCAAGCGCCTTTATGAACATATTAAGAATGACAAGTGAGTATATAGTGGGGGGGGAGTTTGCTTTTTTTTAATTTTTCCACTTTAAATTGTGATAACTTCAGATTGAGTTCAGTTGTAGTAGATACTTAAGGCTAAAAGGGATTTTAAGATGCTTTCTAGACAAATGTCCCTCTGAAGTAGACTAAACTGTTCTTGGCAAATGTTCTATCTGTGGTTCAGGCAGATAAACACAAATGACACTGGTTGCTTGTTTGTCCTCCCCTCCGTAGTCTTGAAGGACAGATGAATATAATAATTATGACATATCTGAAAGTGAAATAATGTCTCCATCTGCTGCTTATAAAACTGTTTTGCTGACCTTTCCTGCATAACTGTTTTTCTTTATACTTCTTATTCCAATTAACCTATTAAGGGATGTTCAGTTGATTTGATAGTTTGTCCTTACCAAATTTTTTATTGTTTTCTGATGTTTGCAGTAACTCTGTATTACTCAGGTGCCTGATAAAATAGTAATTTTCCCAGTGGTTTTTTTTTTCGTTATCCTGTTCAATTTTTATGTTGTTTTTGTGTTGTTATTATTATTATTACCTTATTTTTTGTTACCATAACTACATTATGAGTTGCTTATTTAGAAAAATAAATTCTGGACCCCAGCAATTAATCCTCCCTAGCTTTATTTTTATTGAAAAGGAATAAATGAGTTTCAGTGTTCCTGTCCTGAGTTACCCTAGAACAGTTTTACTTTCCACCGACTACAAAAGGAATCAAGCCTTAAAAAAAACTTTGAATCTTAAATGTTAGAAAGTGACTGATACATTAAGTGTTTGGTGTAAATGTGCAATTAATAGCATCTAGAAATATTGAGAGTTGTTATAAATTGATCTGCTGAGAGTTTAATTTTAATATTTAGCACCTTTTATTTGACAAACAAATTTCAAAACATATACAAGTTTTGGTGAGATTCTAAAATGTAAAAAAAAAGAGTGATGGTTGCTTGATTGTGGTAGTGTGAGAAAAGGAGTGGTGGTGAAAAAAGCTTTTTAATGGAAATGGCAAGTTTCAGGGGAAGAATTCATAGGTGTATACAGCTCTTCTACATGTAGAACCAGCCTGCGAAGATTGAGCTGCAGTATAAGTTTTTCCTTTACAGTATTTACTTTTTTCAGCCACGATGTTTTTTATTGGATGTATGAGCTGAGCCTCTCTTACTCAGTGTATGTTCTGCATTGTGACAGATTCTTTTTTGAACTTCCAGCCTTCTTAGCACTCTCATTTGGTTTTATATCTGAGTTGTTGTTCCAGATGTTCAAGTGGCAGTGGCTCCAACAGGCACTGCGACGATGCTTTTTAAAGTATCATTCAGCAAAGGGGCTGTGTATATAAATAATGCAGACACACTTCATATTTCATGTCTTTGTTCAGCTTATATATGTCTGAATTGGATAACTACTGAGTTATTGTATAGTTGGTTTATAACTATACAATATAACTAGTAGTTATTCTGTAACTATATATATACACCATTACTAGTTATTGTATGTATTATATGTATATATACACAATAACTCGTTATTGTATAGTTATACAATAGTAGGTATAGTTATTGTATAACTATACAATAACGAGTTATTGTGTAACTACTAAGTTACAGCTGTAAACACAAGCCTGAAATGCCTATATTCCATTATAAAATGCCCGACTGTTGAGAAGAAAGATGAGGATGGTTGAAGGCCATTAAGGGGGGAGGGATCACTTGTAGCATAACTTTTATTGAAATGAGAGAGCTACTTCTGCACCCAAAGAGATAGAGTGGATTTGTGTTGCAGAATTGTATTAACTTCTGTTAATTTCTCACTGTTCTTGCTATAATCCCAGGTACCTTGTTGGGCAACGGCTTGTGAATTACGAACGGAAGTCTGGTAAACAAGGCACATCAACAACTCCACCTCAGTCTTCACAAGAATAGATGGTCACATTAAACATCTTGACCTTCCCTTTGCCTTTACGTGTCCTGTTTTCATAGACTCTTCTTCAGTCTTTGGATATCTCTCCCAGTGATACTCTCAGCAGTGTTTTCACTTCTGTTAGTAGCATCCAGATAGCAGTCAAGGCTCTTGTCCTTTATCTGCATTTTCTGGTGTTATCAATGCTGTCTGAGGTCTGTATATGTGTAAATAGAAGTATCCTGACACCCTAAAACCTTGGATTAAAACGAATGTGCATTGTACATCTTTAAAAAAGTATATTAATTTATTAAATCTAGTTGTCACTTTATTTTGGACTGCTGTTCTGTTGACAATGTGCCACAAAGCAATAGTGCAAAGAGGCAAGATGTTTTTATAAAATCTGGAGCTTACTTTATGGTGTTCATAACAGTTCATATTGTAGTAATATAATATGATTTTTCATGAGTGGAAAGGCCACACGGAGAATATCAAAAGTAAATTACTGTCTTACAGTCAGCAATGAAGTGGCTGTAGTGAGAACATAATGAACTACGTATCTTGCTGTCAAGTCTTTTTTATTATTTTGTATAACACCAAAGCTGTTGTACATTTTTCTATTGCCTGATTGTTTTTCATGTGTCTGAGTTTGTAATATTGTACAGTTGCTGTTAAATCTAGAAAATATTCCTCCTCTGAGAATTCAGATGTACTTGTTGAGGCTCAGCTGTCTGTTTAGTTCAGAGGTGGGGGGGCTTTGGGAATCAGGATTTCCTAAACGGAAACAGTAAGTAAAAAATTTACTAAGACTGGGTGATGGAAGCATTTAAAGGTACCGAGGAAAATCAGATAGGTTCACAATTTAAATTGTAGCCAATTTCTTATCAATAATAGAATTTTTCGGGACCTCAAGAGAAGAGATGAACCTTATCTGATGTGTTTGCACAGAAACTAAGAGTATAGTGTAAGCGACATTCTGACCTGGTCTTTAATTAAAGAGCCTGAAATCTTTTTTTCTGTAAGTTACCAAAGCTGCAAATTGTAGTATGAATTTTATATTGCACAATTACTATAAAAAAAAAAAAAAAGACCCCCAACAACAAGAAGATCTCTCTTCTTTCAGAATTGGTCACTGTGAATTTTTATGGGAATAATATCAAGGAAATGACTCATCATGTACCATTTCTCGCCTGCAGGGCAAGGAAATGCATATGCTATTAAACAGGCAAGGAAAATTTAGCACATTTCTTTGCAAGGGCACAGTCAAACAAGAGCCACCAAATCAAGTCTGTGTTATTTCTTTACGAAGATAGAGTTCTTTTGCAGTAATTTTTGGGGGGGGTTTATGTAGATATTTTAAAGCAAATACATAACAGTATCGCAAAGCTTTAAGTAGCATCAAATCACATGCTTAGACTGCAGTATCTTTCCTGGATTAAAATGGGGGAAATGCAAGCATCTATTGCAGTAATTCGAAAATTGTTGAACCATTTAACTTGCTACTCGGTACACTGTCCTTCAGTATTCTGTACTTAACCATATGTGTATATACTTAATACTTGAGAATCTGGCAGGTGCTTCGAGAGTGTCATCTCCTTTTATTGATGTTGCATCTCTAAGCTGATGTGTTTGAGCTAATGTGGTCCAGGCTGTGGTGGTGGTAGTTCATTTTTTGGTGTCTGGACTGATGTTCTAGGGCAATGAGCACAAGCCAAATGCATCTGAATCTACTGGCAGGAGAACTGGGCTATTATTACCAGAAAGTCAGAAGCTAGTATTTTACAGAATTACTGTTGTCCTGATGGTTCTGAACTACAAATATTACCCTTTGAAGTGATTTATTAGGAAATTTCCAGTGAAATGAAATCATAGAAAAATAACCAATGTATTTCTCTTATTCACTGTTGATGCCTGAATGCTAAATTGAGTATTCGCCCCATATATTTTTGATGTGCATAAATATTGCATTTGACTGTTTACAGTGGTGTACATTGTGGGACAGATATATTTTCACAATATTAAATTCACTGGTAACATACATTCTTACTTATGCAAAGATTTTGTCTTTGACATATCTTTCGTAAACAGTTCCAAATGGTCTTGCCACTGAAATATTGCGAGCACTACTGTGCATCATGCAGAATTTGCAGTAGTGTGGTTCTTGTAACTTTGTGTTTTTATCCAGACAAACTGGTCTTAACATTAAAATTTATTAAGAAAAAGCCTTTGTGCTGTTTCTTATTACTGTTATTTTATAAGTCATGACAGAAAAAAAATTAATCAGACCAGTCATGTAATGTGAACTGTAGCTATTTTAATGTCATTTACATTATCTGTATTTGCTCTTTGTTATGGAGAACTGGTTTGCAATCAAACTGTTGCGCTTGCTTTTCCACTGCTTTACGGATCCCAGGTGAGGTGAAGATTGTTTCTGAAACTGTCCATTGTGAGCTTTCAAAAAATCTCATCTCCTTATTTTTACATGTGTTTTGGGGAAAGAAGATGGAGGTTGTATAGAATGAGAATTAAAACAATGCTACTTTTTTATTGGTTTAAATGTTAATAGTTTGCCTTATTGTGCTGTGTATACTCTTCTGGTGTAGAAACTTGATAGTAAGCACGTAAACTGATAGGGCTGTTAGTAAGACAGCTGGTGACAGTGGCTTCCATCAGCTAGAGTACACAGCATGCAGTGGTCTTCCATTACTCTTCGAGTGGGAAAAATTCTCTGTGTGTGTGTGTGTGTGTGTGTGTGTGCGCGTGCTTTCACCACAGTTTGTGTTGACCTTGGATCCTGACTTGGAGGAGTTGGAGACACGTACTGGCGTGGTTGTATCCCCTTTGTTGAGAATCTGAGGTTGAGAATCTAACGCTGTTAGTGCTTCTACAGGCCTTCATCCAAGAACTGTCAGATCCAAGAACTGTCAGATGGCTTTGTAGCTGCGTTTTGCATCCTGAATGCAATTCACTGCAGCATGGCTTTCACTGTTTTTACACAGATTATTTTATATTGATTAAAAATAGTTAAAACTCTGCATCCTTTCTCGGACTCCCCCTTCTCCTCTGGGTAAAGCCCGAGTTACTTGCCTTTGTTTCTGAGGGCTCTCTGGAACCTGTAACTATTTTCTGCCAGCAACTTCCTTGGTAAGATGCCAGCTCCAACATCTGTTAAGAGTATTCCCGTCGCTTTTCAGCTGAGTGCGTTAATCTTTTCCTTGTTTTTCCTGAAGCTTGAGCAAAGGTCTTCATAAAAAAATCTGCACAACAGCCGCACTGTTCTTCAGAGAACTCTGTAAAAAGCCCTTTGCCTTACAAAGCGCCAATGACATTGGTTTGTCGATTCCACTGCCTGATAGGCTGATCAGTGCCATTTTGTTTCTTTGTACTCCACTGTCTGCCCCTTCATTTAGATTGTAAATTCCTGGTGCTGGGGTCAGCGTTCTTGTTCTGCTTGCCTTGTGAGTGGGAGCTCTGCAGCCTGAGTGGGCTTCTTAGCAGAAATTGTGATACAGATAATAAAAACATAAAACGTCCACATCTTGGTAGTATAATGGAAGTTCAGGATGTCAAAAAAGGAAGTGGTCTTCTGAAACAGATAAGGAAACAATTATTACAAAGCATAATGGTAAGTTTGAGCTCTCTGATATTTCAGTTCTTAATTAGATTAACTGGAACTAAAGAATTGCATAGTTCACAGCAACTTTAAGTCTGTGATTATTTGAGATGAGCTATGCTTCTGGTTTTAAGTCCTTCATTTGGAAGTCATCATAAATTGAGAAATGATATGCTGAAATTAAAGTTACTCAGTGATGGAAGATGATATTTCCAAAGGTCAAATACTGTGCCAGAATAAACTGAGTGTTTTGAATTCAAAGATTATTTCACAACTCTGCATGTCTGTTTTGCTGCTTATATGCTTACTTGCTGTTATCTCTTACTTGTTGAGTAGTGGCCAATGCCAAAGCTGCACAGGCACCTTTTTTCCCTATATAAGGAGAAATCAAACATATTTGGAGTTGTCTAATACTGGTTTCAGGGTACACTTAACCTTACTTGTGTGGTTTATGTTAAATCACTTGGCTTTCAGGGAGTGTTTCTGTTTCCTAGTTTTACCCAGAGAAAACAGACTTCTTGTTGCTGACAAAAATAGAGAACACTACAAAGCTCATTATTTATTTATATTTAATAGAATGTATGTATTCAAGCCCAAATGGTTAAGATCTGCCTCGGTGTGCCTTGTTCAGTAGGTACAAATTTCATAAATGCCCTGATGGAAGTTCAGAAAGCCATGTGCTGAATTAGAATGGAGTATACATGGGATGTTTTAGCTAGTGACTAGGAGTCCTGGAAGCAGCAAAAGAACTTTGAAGCTGAAATCGGGCAATAAAGGAAATAAAGCAACAATAATGTCAACAGATATACTTTTAAATGCTCTTTCTGTAACAGTAATCAGTAAATTGCATGGGGAGGAAGTATTCAGTGTCTAGGAAGAATCTCGAGTTACTTCTTTCACTGAAGCTACATGTGTATTTACTACCTACATTTCCAAAGAGTTTGATCACCTCTTTCTTAACATAAATTGTTTAGTCCTTACAACTTTGGGCCAAGATTCTCAACATGATCTATCAGTGTTCCTCTCTCTGTGCCTTTCTGTGATTTTTCTCTTCCTCATTGAAAAGGATTTGTTGACCTAACAGCCACATTACTTACCTTTTGTAATCCCGAGTTCAGTTAAACAACCTTGTATTAGCCTGCATATCATTAACAGCTATCGTCACGCCTCAGACCTCAAAACTGAAGCCTCCCTCCCTCACCTACCTCCTGATCATAATTTTAGTTACCAGCTCTGAGAGGTTATTCCACTCTTTGTTGTGCTGTTTTAGTCTTCTCCTTTTTATATCCATGAATTACAGTAATCTTTAAGCAGATGTTTTAGTGTAATTACCTGTGAAAAGCAAGGTCCTTTTAGCTAAAAATACTAGTTCCTCAAAGTATAAATGATTTCTTCAAAAGGACTCTGATATCCCAATATGCCAAACTTTAAACAACTTGAGTAATTATGCACATACTTTGTGTATATTTAACATAGGAGTAATGAGTAGAAAACGTCTAGTACATCTGGTTCTGCTTATAAATTGGGAGACTGTGTAGTAACTCCTGTAACTGCAGGATTTTGTCACCCTGTCCTGTCTTGTCCCTTCGCTTTCTGTCCCCTGCAGTTAAATATGTGCTGATCTCTGGCCAGCCAGGGTCAAAGGAGAGAGGAGAGCAGTGCCCATGCTCCTCTTTCTGCAAAGAGCAAGCAGCATGTCCCCCAGAGGTTTTATTATTTGATGCAGTATGTCTTGCTAATTTTTGTTACATGTAAGCATTTATACAAAGATTAATTTAGTCATGCCATTATATATTAAGGATGCTCTAGAGCAGCATATAATTAATTGATCTATTTTGTAGTTATTTTTCACTCTTATGTGAAAGCTTTGCTTTATTCTACCATGTTGTTCATATAGAATACCATGTTTTAAGAACAGTTTTTCATTAAATGCTCGTAAAAAAATTTTCCACCTACATGCTGCTGGTTCTCTTAATACAGTCTGGCAGCTTTATGCATTATTTCACTGCACTGGACCAAATAGCCAGAAGA